GCTATTTGACAGGCGACGGCTCACAAGGTTTGGGGTTTGGTAATATAAGACTTGAAAACAATAAATCTTACTCATTTGGGAGTATTTTATATTTTATGTTATGTTTAAAATTTTTATTGTCATTTATTAGCATTCACATTTTTAGGTAATTTGTTATTTTTGAAAAAATCGGAATTTAAATTTAGTTAGTTAGTAGTTAAACTGTAACTGAACGAATCCAGCGAGTGTGGTTTATCACACTTCAACAGCATTAATCCAAATATATATTAAAAATGTTCAGTTAAAACTTCTTTAATTTGGCGTTATACTCATCTAATCTATTTTTAAATTGATTGACAGTTTTTGAAGTAACAACAGTTTCCGGTAAAGCGTTCCATAAATTGGCCGTACGATTTAATAAAAAATGATGCCGAGGTAAATAGTTCACAATTTCTCTTTCATATTTAAGATTGTGACCTCGAGTAATTGAATCAATTTTAAGCTTCGGTTCATTAATTAAATCAATTTCCTCAAATCTGTTAAGTAATTTAAACACTTGTATTAAATCCCCACGTTCCCTCCTTGTTTTCAATGTAGATATATCTAATATTTCCAATCTCTTTTCATAATTAATTTTCCTTAATGATCGAACTAATCTAGTCATCCTGTGTTGAACTTTTTCCAAAAGTGATGTCTCCTTTAAAATAAGGTGACCAAACAGGTACTGCAAACTCAATAAGAGGTCTAATAAATACCTTATACAACGTTTTAACCAATTTTGCATCAATTCAAGAAAATGTCATTTTTAACATACCCATCATTGAATTTGCTTTAGAAGTACTTGATATAATTTGTTTTTTCTATTTCAAGTTTGTTGAAAAATATACGCGATCGTTCAGACTTACTAAATAAGTGGAAAGTTAAACGCAAGCGCAGTAAAGTTTGCATATTTTAAAAGTTTTAAAAATGGCTACGGATAACGAATATAATCAAAATTCTCATTGACAACGAGCTATTTTTCTAATTTTTAGCAATTAAATATGCATTTAGCCGTTAAATAAAAGGAAATTATAATAAAAGTAACTTCTAGTACACGATAAAATATTTCAAATTAAATATAAAACCAATAAAAATGAATAAAATGTAATTACAGCAATAGCTATTTTAGTGTGTTTTGTTTATCGTTTTCAAATTGTTTTTAAAAAAATTTTGAGCGTAGAAATTTTTAAATTTTAACTTTTTCAGATAGATGAACTGTTGATCTTTCTTAGAATGTTTACTGATATTAGTATTCAATTTTTTTTCAAGATTAAAAGATATTTTTTTAACATTACCTTTTAGTGAGCTGTTGCTAGGCTACCCTATAATCACAATACATAATTACATTGATGTGAGTATATATATATATATATATATATATATATATATATATATATATATATATATATATATATATATATATATATATATATATATATATATATATATATATATATATATATATATATATATATATATATATATATATATATATATATATATATATATATATATATACTCTTGCATGTCTCTTGCATGGCATCAAAAAAAGTTTCTCATAAACTGTAGTTTTAAAGAGCGCGTTAATAAACCAGACCAGAAAAAGTTGTAAAAATTAAATTTTTTTTTAATTGATAGACTGCCTGGCCAAACCAAACCCTCAGTCGATGTAGCAGCACTCTCTTGCGAGTCAGGCTATTTGTCAGTCGTTGTAGCAGCACTCCCTTGCGAGTCAGGCTATTTGACAGTCGATGTAGCAGCACTCCGTTGCGAGTCAGGCTATTTGTCAGTCGATGTAGCAGCACTCCGTTGCGAGTCAGGCTATTTGTCAGTCGATGTAGCAGCACTCCGTTGCGAGTCAGGCTATAAGTTATATATTATATACTATTAATATTTATATATAAACCATAAAAAAAGCATTTCAATATTTTGCAGATCCACCTTTCTTAAATAAGGATTGAAGAAGGCAATTATCTAAAATTTCAATATTTCTATCAGCATTAAGTCAACCTTCAAATAATAAATAGCATTTAAGTCCTGCATAATTCATGTAGGTCCAAAAGTCTACACTGCCATTACCTTGCTTGGTTGGTTTTCATGTACAATTCAAATCAAATTACTCTTGAGGTGATCGCCATAGCAGAACACGAAGCAATAACATATTTTTGCATATCTACCTCATGATTCATTTTGTCTGAGAATGTAACATTTCACCACTTGCTGTCGTGTTTCATCAAGCAAATTAATTTTATTAATTAAAAACGTTTATCTCATTGTGTTGCCCACCAGATTATCCAGATCCATTATGTCATCTGTTTCAGTATAAGGTTTTCAAATATGTGAATATAGAATATTTAACTTATTGGCTATTTGACGAGGAGATAGTACTTGGTTTTAAATAAAAATAGATTTGTAACATGTTTTTTCAGAGAATCTCAACCACGATTTTGGAGTTTCATGCTGTATTACTTCACTCGTTATGAGGCTTTTTCAATATCTAATTAATTTGTGTTTTCATCAGTACAATTTCAAAATTAGAAATTTAGAATTAATAAATGCTATTGAAAATCAAATTAAATTATTTAAAAAAATATTACATTAATTTTAAAAATAAAGCAGTAAGCATTAATTTTTAACGAACAAAAAAAAATTTTAAAAATATAGTCGATGTTGTAAAGTTACATATAACTAGGGATACAAATGAAATTTTATGGTAACAACTTGTCTATTAAATAAAAAACACGATTCTTATTAATTATATATATATATATATATATATATATATATATATATATATATATATATATATATATATATATATATATATATATATTAATTATATATATATATATATATATATATATATATATACTACTGTGATCAAAAAGTAAGGTGAATTTTTTTATAAAATGAAAAATCTTTATTTATTCTTCCAAATCTGTTTCGTCCCCCTCAAAATAATCCCCCCCCCGGCCCCAATGCACTTTTGGCAACGTTTTTTCCAGTCTTCGAAGCATGCCAAAAAGTCCTCGGTAGGGATAGCCTTCAATGTGCGTGCCGATTCACGTTGGATTTCTTCAATAGACTCAAAACGATTTCCCCGGAGTGGTCTCTTGAGCTTTGGGAACAGCCAGAAGTCACACGGTGCTAAGTCGGGCGAATATGGTGGTTGTGGAGCAACATGGGTAGAGTTTTTGGCGAAAAACTCACGAAGAACCAGTGCTGTGTGCGAAGGCGCATTATCGTGGTGCAAAATCCAAGAGTTATTGGCCCATAATTCCGGTCTCTTTTTGCGAATAGCTTCACGCAAACGTCGCATAACGCTTAAATAATATTCCTTGTTGACAGTTTGGCCAGTTGGAAGGAATTCGTAGTGCACGACACCACAATAATCAAAGAAAACAGTCAACATGACCTTGATTTTTGAGCGACTTTGACGTGGTTGCTTCGGTCTCGGCTCGCCTTTTTCACAGTATTCACTCGATTGGTCGGTTGTTTCAGGGTTGTATGCGTAGACCCAAGTCTCATCGCCAGTAATAATTTGTTTGTAGACGTCATGATAGTCAGAAAGCATTGCTTCACACGTTTTAACGCGACGCTCTTTTTCAAAGAAATTGAGAAATTTCGGCACCAAACGTGATTTGAGTCTTCTGAGGCCCAAATGATCTTTCAAAATCGCTTGCACTGACCCAAATGATATTCCAACCATGTCAACAAGGTCTCGAATGGTTAACCGACGATTTGCAAGCACCAATTCTTTGATTTTGTTGATGTGGCAATCATCAATCGAAGTCGATGATCGTCCGGAGCGTTCCAAGTCATCAACACGTTCTCGGCCTTCTTTAAAGTCTTTGTACCACTTGTAAACATTTTTTTGAGACATAGTCTCTTCACCGAAGGCCTTTTGCAACATTTGATACGTTTCAGCAGCACAAATATCATTCCGCAAACAAAATTTAATAGCACTTCTTTGCTCAACAAAATTAGATATCGTGAAAATCGCCGAATGCACTTTTGGTACTTCAGAAACAAGCGTAAACAAAAAAAAAATAATTATGAGTTTAACATGTAATTTGGCGCAAATGTTAATGACATTCCTACCAACTTAAAAATAAAAAAGATTGGACGATTCGAATAAGACGGGAAGTTCAAATTAAAAATTCACCTTACTTTTTGATCACAGTAGTATATATATATATATATATATATATATATATATATATATATATATATATATATATATATATATATATATATATTAGCTATATACCCTAATATAAATGTATCATACATCTACGAAAGTAGTGTTAGGTGAATTCTATTTTTGTTCAGAAAAAAATTGAATACTCAGATCTGAAAACAATTTCAAATCAGTTTCAACATATATATATATATATATATATATATATATATATATATATATATATATATATATATATATATATATATATATATATATATATATATCATACAGTGAAAACAATTTCAAATCTTTTAACAGTTAGATAAATGTAGCAGAGAATCACAGTTTTTTATATATTTAAACATCTTTATATTGTTTTCATCATTTTTGAATCAACAATTCAATTATCTTTATTATTATTTCATTCAATCAAAAATATGCAAATAATAACTACTAAGTAAAACTTTAAAAATATTGTTGCTACTCAGAAAAAATTTTGGTATCTAAAGGCCGTCACCATCTTTAAAATTATAATATTTGAATTTGACACTGCGCTTGCGTATAATAACATTCCACATCTAAACGACCGTGTATACACCTTTATCTCTCGCATTCAGAATCTTTCAGTTCAACACCATTTAAAGTATATTTCAATCGCGGATTATTTGTACCATAATGCATTATAACACATTTACTAGAATTAAAACCCAAGGGCCACTTTTTAGACTTTTAAATTTGGTGCATTATTAAAGAATCTTTTCTTTATGAGGAGGGTTATGAGGCAGAAAAAAGAATTAAGACTAAATAAACGAAGAATCCTAAAACTCTATACACTTCGTTGTAACTAATTTTAATCTTTAATATACATGCAAAAAAAAAAAATAAAATAGCTCATTCAAATTATGACAATTTTATTTCGCAGTTTAATAAAAAAAGTATTTTGAAAATTCCTATAGATACAATAATTATAAAGAAGATTTAAAAAATAAAACTATGTTAAAAAAGCTTGCAAAATCTAAACTTATTGCTTACACATTGCACATAAATGTAAAAATTAAAAATCAATATAACAAATTGCAACTGTTTTTTTGTTATCATGTTTCATTATATTATGAATTAAAAAAGATGCATGAATGAAAAACAGTTTATATTATAGCTCACAAAGACTGTTCAATAGACAGTCTGCTGAAACCTTCACCACCATAGGAATCTCCAAAAACTTTACGATGACTAAAGAAAAAAAAATACACATAAAACTATATTTATTTTCATACTTTTTTTTTTAATTTTTTTTACATTTCTATGCAGCACATTTTCAAAAAAAAAAAAAAAAAAACACGATCAAATGACTTTTTAAGTAGATACATCATCATTATTTTTTCAAAACATAAAACATTTTTTCACAAAGTGATTATAAGAAATTATGCTCTGCTGTCTGCTCCTATAAGACATATTCTGATGTCAAATATATTTCTCTTCTATAGACAAAGACAAAAGCCAAATTTATCAAAGCTATTTTTTTAACGAAAAGACTAAATATAGTCGTCTGGACATCGAGGTAGAAACTTGCATCGTGGTAGTAAATAAATTTTGTTAAAACTTCTAAGTTATTGTTGCTATATTAGAGATGTTACTATGGTAGCAAGAATTACTTAGGGATCGTCCATAAATTACGCAACACAAAATATATTTAAAAAACAGAAGGAGGACATATTAAGCTCTTTAACGTAACGATTTGCATTAAAATAAATAAAATTAATATAACATAAAATTAATGGGCTATTTTGATTTTTTATTTAACTTAAGACTGCGAGAGAAAACTTTTAATCTTCTTTGTTTTACTTGTTGTGAAAGTTTTGCGTTACGTAATTTATGGACGATCCCTTACTGGAAGCTACCTATAATATTGCAAATAATTCTGTTAAACAAGCTAACTGAAAGGCAATGTTCTATTATAATGTTGCTGAATTGTACAATTCACCAACATAAAAATAACACGTGTTTTAGAAATCACGTAGATGCGTGTTGAAAGTCACGCGTTATTCTGTTTAATGACGATTGTAACTAAAAGTATTGTAATAGGACTTTTAACTCTGTATATATAGAGAGAAGATTTTTTGTAAAAAGGAAGGAAAAAAGAAAACTCAAAAAATAGTTGTTTTTGTTTTTATTAAATATATTGACGTAACGATTTAACAAATTATTTCGGCCATTGTGCCACCGGTATTCGATGGCAACCACTAGCGGTTCGTCCGCAACTACGAATATACATAACTGCAATAGACGTACCTAAATCCAAGAGAAAAACAATAATATTACCATGTTTGCTACCACAGATTTATTCTGCATTGGAAGATCTATGCTTGCCTGCATACCCAAGATGACTCAGTTATCTACGTAGACACCGAAGAAAACATCATGAAGCTTTTTAAACCGAAATCATCGTTAATACTGCGCTTTGAATTTTCAACAATAAAAAAAGCAAGTAACGAAAGTGCGACGGAATTTTCATGACCGATTGCAAGAGCAGCTGAAGGATGCAAATTTATGGATAGAGATAACCGGATGCGCGATTAATTCATTCACAGGTTTTAACGATGGTGTTACAATCAAACGGTTATTACTAAAACTTGAAGAACTAACGTTTGCAAAGGCTGTGGAGATTGCTGCTACTCTTAAACGAGTAACTCAGGAAGAGCGACAATTTAATGGTTCCTATAATGCAATGATTGCGCCTATAATGTAATGATTGCGGCAACATCGTTACTTCCGCGGACTTTTGGTGTGTTTGGCACAAAGTTACATGTTTCAATTGTGGAAAACTTGGACATTATGCACGGAACTGCGAAGCAAAATGAAAGACTTGTTCACACGATTATCAAGCTAAAGATTGCTTTAAACGATTGCAAAGTTCAAAAGGAAAAGGGAGAATGTGCAAATGATGGCATTCAGTATTCTCCCAGAAATGGAGAGAATACTGAATGCCATCCATATATTACGTACACACTTAGGGGGAGGGGGGAGTATCCCAAGTTCAGAAAGTTGCGTACGAGTGCGTATTTTTTGTTCAATTTAAGGCAGAACAGCTAAAACCTCGACCACTACTAGAGTTTGCTGTACCAGTATGGGCTCCTTATCAAAAACGAGAGATTTTAGAAAGAGTACAGTGTTGTGCCACTAAATTAATACCTTCAATCAATAAATTAGGCTATGAATATCGACTAGCTTGTCTTAGAATGCCCTCACTAGTTAAAAGAAGACAACAAGGTGACAATTCAACTGTATAAATTTTCAAAGATTACGATAAAGTTGAATTTAAAGAAAATAATTCCTTCAAATCGAATTGTACTCATGGCCATAACCTAAAGTAATCTAAAGAATTATTATTTCAGTGAAAGAAAGTATGTTTAAAATTATTATTTTTAAATATACATTGTTATTGAGTATTTTAACAAGTTCAGCACTTTTTTGCTGTATTTTTCAAAATTACTGATCATAAAAAAGAAAACGTCCATAACCACATAGAAGAGTAAAAAAAATTCTATAGTAGTGAAAATAGTGAAAAGCAGAAACTGCTAAAAAATTCAGTAACTAGCAGTTTATTGCAGACTGCTAGTTACTGAACAATTTAAGCATTTGCAGATTTTCCTGGGTACTAGTTTGTAGAGAAAGCTCTTTTACTTTTATTCTATTAGCTAAAAATAAAAAGTAAAAATTTTGTTTGAATAAATGTGTTTTAATTTTACTTTTTTTATTTTTTTTAGTTTCAACTGTGTGGGTGGAAATTTTTATTCGTCAAATAAAACTGTCAATTGTCAACATCAGGTTGGAGCTCTCAATGTTTTACAGTGGCAAAGTATTCCTTGTGGCAGCACAGGGATTCCATCCATAATCAAAACCTTTAACTAATATTTTACTGAAATTATGGTAGATAATATTGTCCGATGTATACAAAAATTCATTTATCTATGCAAACTACAACGCATACCACCCAAACATGCTTTAACAACGAAAGCTTGTTGAGGCATGTTAAGTATTTGGAATTTTGATTTGCACTGCAATTTGCTTATAATTCTGATATTAATCATACTTGATATTGATCATACATGTAGTATCTACTGTACACTCATATCTACTGTACATGTAGCACCTCATATCTACTGTACACTCATATCTACTGTACATGTAGCACCTCATATCTACTGTACATGTAACACCTCATATCTACTGTACATGTAGCACCTCATATCTACTGTGCGACTATGGGTCTTAATAGATTACACATTATGTGTTTTCAAGATTTGATGACAGTAATACATGCAGTCAAGGTAAGAAAGAAGGTAAGGCAGCCCTAATTTGAAATTTGTGGACAATGTTTATTTTTCCTAGATGTTTAAGCCTACAGGAAATTTAAAAAGTATATCTTTTTCAAGGATGTACAGGATTTACTAAATATATACCATCAAGAATAAAAAAAAAGAAAAAAACTATATTTTGCAGCAGTAAAATTCCTTTATACCTAGATAATACATTCACAGACGCTAATTTATGTAATGAAGTAAATGGGCAAGTTTTCTTTCATAAAAATATGAAACTTTCTACTTTATAACGAATTAGACACTTTGTCATTTAAAGTTTTTAAATAGTTTGCAGAATTCAGTCTTATTTTGTTGTAAAAGGTGTAAAGCATCACAACAGTTGGCAGTAACTGCATCCCAAATAAAAATTGCTGGATATTGCTTAACAGAAGATGTGACATAATGGAGATTAAAGCAAGAGTTTGATAACTGGCAAATACTGACAAACAGTGTGCTGCAATCTACTTAACTTACAAATGGTATTAGAATGTCCTTGTGTTTTTTGCTAAATTTTAGATGATCATAAATGCTTATTTGAAAAAGGTGTGGCTTAAATGCAATATTGAACTATCGAAAAATTCAGTGTTAAATGTTTCTTTTGATAAAGTACCAAGAGAGCTTTGAGGTAACTAAACTTTAAAGTTTGGTAACAGTTATCGGTTATTAGATTATTTATGAAAATGTAAGAGCAGTCAAAACAGTTCATAAGAGAAAATTTTGAAATTGAATTCATCAGAGCACGCTTTTGAAAGCCTGCTCAGATGAATTTAATTTTAAAAAAAGAAAAGCCTGCTCTTTTTTTCAGTCTTGTTGAAAAATTGTTTGCCAAATATTTTTAAGGTGACAGTTAACATCTGAATCAAATGGTCGGAATAATGTTGAAGAATGGGATAGTAAAATTATCAGTTATGTGTCATTTTCTTGACATAGTTGAATCATAGAACATGACTTAAATAATCATCAGCTGCATCATCTATTCGGCCTTAGCAATTTCCTTTTTTAAATGAATACAGATTTAATCCATTGTACAAATTGACCCTCCTCCATTCAACCAGAAAGAGACACAGTGTAGCACGTACCAGGAGGTCCACCATAACCCTATAGAGCAAAAACATGTTTTGCTTTGTAGGCAACAAAAAGTGGCAAATAATCACCTTTAGCATTGCAGCAATTATTCACAGTTTAATGAACTCTTTTATTATTGCTATTAATAATAAGTGGACGCCTTACTTCTCTTCTAAGACTGTTTTTGAACTTTGATCATATTTAAACCTGACTTCATTGAAATTTTGTTGAAAACATTTTTTGGCTTGTCCAATATGTCTGGATTTTTTTAAGTTGTTTGAAGTGTTTCAAAAATTTTCAATCACTTGGTAAGTGCATAAGCTGCTCTCGCTGCTGAAATGCTCAGTACATTGCATTAACTTAATTGATGACTAGCATTGCCTGAAACCTATGTACCACTCCATTGTTGACTTGACATAATTGAATGACAGTTTGATAAGCTCCTTTTAAATAATCATATATTACAGATTGAATTTCAGGGAATGATAAGCCGTACCCCCAGTCATCTTGAACTTAAAGCATGTGAACCAGTAAGGATTCAGTCACACAGATAAAAGTTGTTAAGGTGCCACCACCTTTACATACATTTTCCAGCATATCTTTTCTGGATACCAAATTCTTCCTACTAGTGTCCTTTAACGTATAACCTACAGTTCGTAGCCTGAGTTGGAAAGTGCAGCTCACTTCCAACTCAGTTTGCTTAAACTTTTGCGATGGCTTTTTCCATTCTCTTTTTTATAAATGGTGACATTTTCTCTTGTAATTTCAAGGCATTGTCGTTGATAATTAATCGATTTGATTAATTTTAATTGATTATAAGGCCAACATGACCTGAGAAATAATTACCAAAACTAAATGAGGATAATTAATATTATTTATCCAATCAAAGCTTATCTCCATTTAATATAAATAGGTGGCGATATTCCCATATTAAGTTTTTCCGAAATAACTTCAGAACCCATCAAAATTGGAAAGAAAAAAACAAAACAGATTGTTTGAAAATTTGCTCTATTTGGGACTTTTTAATTTTTGACAGAAATAAATAAATAGAATTTTAAGAGCAATTTAAATTTCCTGTTTTTTTGAAGATTTATTTTTTCAATTAACTTTCATATTAAGTCTTCAAAATAAGAAGTATTTTTAACATTGATAATAAAATTTTTTTTTTTCTAATAGAAATTTAAATAATAAAAACCTTATTTCTGAGTGAAGTTATAAAAGTAGAAATTTGTGGTAAAACTACTAAAGTGGCTAAATTACCCCATTTTTACTCTATATATTTAGATATTTTAACTATTTATTTTTAATTTACTTATAATATTATTAATTTTCATCTGTTTACTAACCTAAATTTTCAAATATAAAAATAAGCAATGAAAATTATTTACTCAACATTATACTTAATACAACTTTATGTTTATTATATTCAAATATGTTTTATTATATTCAAAATTAATTCAATATACTAGTTTTTTTTTGTTTTGTTTTTTGTTTTTTGTTATTACCTCCTCAAGGCCGAGAAGGCCACTACAGATGAGGAGGCTACTTAATAGTGGTTATAACCTTCTTTAAACTCTATAACTCTGAAATACGAACCCTGACAAACAAGGCCGCTGCGCAGAGAAACAAGTTGAGCGCGGTACTACCAGGGACATGGTGGGAATCGAACTCGGAACCTTTTAAATCAATTATTACTGTAAGTTAAATCAATTAATACTGATTTAGAAAATTAATTATTCTTATTATAACTGCTTTATATGATCTGAAATCTTCAAAGTATTCTAATTTATACTAAAAACTTTAAAACTAACAAAAGGTTTTATAGCATATTTATATTTATATTTTATATTATATTTAATAGCATATTTAACTTAAATTAACGTAAATTATTTTAACATAAATTAAAAATAAAAAAATACACCAATACTTAAGTCTAAATTTATTTAACAAAATCAAAATTTTTTTTTTTAAGAATATTGAAAAAAAATACAGTACCTTGTTAAAAGCAACACTCCCTTCATACAACTTCACTTTGAATAATATCCAGATTCTTGAACCGAATATTTATCTAAAGTTATTACATAACTTTTAATCTTGATAACAATAAAACATCAACTAACAAAGGAGTTATATAAAACATATATATAAAGGAGTTATATAAAACATATATATAAAGGAGTTATATAAAACATTTATATAAAGAAGTTATATAAAACATATATATAAAGAAGTTATATAAAACATATATATAAAGGAGTTATATAAAACATATATATAAAGGAGTTATATAAAACATATATATAAAGGAGTTATATAAAACATATATATAAAGGAGTTATATAAAACATTTATATAAAGGAGTTATATAAAACATATATATAAAACAAGTTTTTTCTACCAGTTTTACATTATCACCAAAAAAAAAGGTATCAATAGGTTATGGCAGTTGTCAGGTGGGCTAATGCATTATATTACAATCAACCCCAGGAATTAGGGATGGCAATGCCGACGTAACTGCTGACCTCAAAGTGTTTAAGGTTGGAAAAAAATTGGTAAGACTTTTGTATCAAATTTTTTTTGCCGACCTGATGCCAACCTCTAGAAGAATGAGGTCGGCATCAATTATTGCTGACCTCAAATTTTCTATTTCTGAGGGTTGTACAATATTGTATAACATCAAAATACAATGTAATACACTTCTCAAATAAATAAAAAAATTTGAATTCAGAGTAACCAAAAAACAAAATAAACTAGTAGTAAATAAACTAATTTATTTTATTAACATGAATACAAAATAGTATTAAAATTTTAACCAAAATGAAAAAAACTAATATTTTTAAATAATTATTTCCCTAAATCTGTTATTATCTGACTTAACTATTTTCTATTTAGTTATTTGAAAAAACATCATGTTTGTAAAATAGTTTTAATGCACAATAATTTATAATAATTTATAATATGAAAAATCACTGAAGATTTCTGTAGGCACGCAAACTATTATTAAACCTTATAACTCTATGCCAAAAATAATGGACATTTTAAATGTTTAGAATTCAATATTATCTAAAAAACTTATTTGCTGACTTAGGGATTAATGCTGACTTATGGATAAAATATTTATGGAAAAGATAAAATTAAATTGTAATTAATAAAAATAAACTTTTTATTACAACTATATGTATTATTTATTCTGTCAAAGCATACAAATATGTGTTATTTATTTCTGTCATAAATACATAAGCATACACATTACCTACTTTATAGAAGTTTTTTGGGCAAAGGCCAAATGCTTCTTTTTTTCTTTTTGCACTTTCTTTTTCAAATTTAAAAAACTGGCACAATAATGGAACCATTAAAAGCCAAAAAAAACAACAAAAGAAATTAAAAGCAATTATATGTGGAAATTAAAAGAGCAATGTGAAAATTAAACTTGCAATTCATTTTAATCATCAATCAGCAATTTTAAATTTAAATTTAAAATGTTGAAAATAATATTTGTTAAATAATCAAGATGGTTTGTTACATAATTAAGATAATCAGGATAATTTTACTTTAACTATTTTTATGTTATTAAAACATTCTTAAATATTGTTAAACAACATCTTTTTCTATTTTAATAAATTTTCATAAGTCCTTTAACATATATAAAAATCAATAAAATTCAAAACATGATTTGACATAGACCTATAAATTAAACTAAGCATCTTTATTACTAATTGACTACTTTTGCATTTTCTACTGTAAAACCATTTTCATGTCTGCTGAAAAAGTTTAGTGGAATTCTTACTTACTAAAATTAGAATTCATATTACTTCTTTATAAAAACAGTAAACCATTTCACAACAAAATAATAGTGCTGTTCAGCTTGTACGCTATTAATTTTTTATATAAACTGACAGCATGTAAGCCAAACCATGTTAAATACAGTATACATACATAATTTATGTAATTATATCTTATTCAATTATTAATACACATAAATGCATATAACCCATATAACAAAATATTAAATATAATAATTACTAATGACATCTACAAAACATTTTTTTTTAATTTTAATTCACCTCTCTAAGACCACAAAGGCCACTACAGTCGAGGAAGTTTTTTTAGTTGTGGTTACAACCCTCTCTCAACTCTATACTTCGGAAACATGAACCTTGACGAACAAGGCTACTGCACAGAGAAACAAGTTGAGCGCGATTCTACCAGGAACGTAATGGAGATCGAACTTACTGAAGGTAACATTGTGAAAAAGTGAGAAAACTAAACTTCTGTAGTTCAATAAGTTCAAGAAATATATTTTGATTTGATGATTAATTTTCATTTGATGCAGGCAATGTGGTCCCATGTGATGCTTGAACTAGACTAAGCAATGAAAGCCCACAGAGAAATATGAAATATTTCTATTGAAAAAACCTTTTATATATATAAGAATAAGTAATGAAAACAGAGAAAAACAAACTGATGTTTGGAATAAATACAGATTTATTTTTAGAAGAAAATTTTATAAAAAATTCATAGTCAAAAGTAAATTTATTTTTAAAGTATACCTAAAATAAAACAAGAAACATAAGTAACCATAAATCTTTATTAAATACAAAAGTATTTACAAATATACATATGAATAAATATATCAATATCTAAAAGGTATAAGACAAAGAAAAAGAGGTATAAGACAATGAAAAAACATTATTGGTTTTGTGTCATCATTTATGTAGTGGTGGTAATAGACTTCTTCTGAGAAATCATCTATTGTAAAATAACTAATGATCCTTGCCACATTGTTAAAAATTGAGGAAACTAAACAATGATAACACAGCCCTCAAGAAATTTAGAATCTCCTAATGGTGCAAAATGGCATAAAAAAACCAAATGTTTTTCTAGGTGAAACTGAAAATTTTAAAAAATTGATCTGTTAAAGTTACAGCAAGACACTATTTTTGGGCCACTAACAGCGGGCTCAAAAACACTGTATGGCTGCAATTTCAGCAGAAAGATGTGATCTCAAGCATCTAGCTTTTTTAATTTTTTTTAATTTTCTAATTTAACATTTTTTTGGCCATTTTAAAAATTAAAGAATGTTTTTTTATTAGGGGTCATAGTACATCAAGCTAAATTTAACTTGAAATAGAAGTAGGGCATTTTCATTTTTGCCCATGATTTTTTTTTTTTTCTTTGTTTTCACAATTAGAAGCTGGTACTTATAGCAATATCATAAATTTATATGCATTATATTTTTGTATATAAAAATCAACTATAACAAAAATTTTGTGAACAAATTTTAGACTACCTGAATGTTTAAATATGTATATTTTTATCTCTTATCTTTTATATATATAAACAATTTTCCCAGGAAACGAGTGTGGTTTTTTGTCTTATATGTCCACGCATGAGTATTTCATTTTAAACAACTTGTTCACAGCCGTTTGAAAGTTTTTTTTATTTTAGGCATTGCACAAAAAATTAAGTTATAAAAACAAAGAAAACCAAACCAACAAAATAGAAAATTAATATAAATTTAAATAGAAATAAATAAATAAAAATAAAAAAATTTAAATAATTTGTGTACTGTTTTTATTTATTTTTTTACCAATGGCAATTTTTTTAAATCGTTTTCTTCAAAACACTGCTGGTCATATATCTTAATCTTTTTTTTGTATATAAAAATCTTTTTATTGTACTTTTATGAATGTTACCCACCTCTCACATTCAGATTTCTTATACCATTTAAGCCTTTCCGTGAATTCTCTAAGTAAGGCGCACACATATATATACATAGTTTTTAAGCTTGAATTAGGCTATTTCATCTACACATTTTTCACAAAGCCTTAGTTGTTTCATATGTTTATGTTTGTCCGCGCAGCGGCCTAGTTCGTCAAGGTTCGTGTTTCGGAGTTATAGAGTTGAGAGAGGGTTATAACCACAATTAAGTAGCCTTCTCGTCTGTAGTGGCCTTCTCAGCCTTGAGGAGGTGAATAACAAAAAACAAAAACAAAAAAAAAATTGTTTACTTATATATCACCAATAACATAGTAAACCAAAAGGGAGGGTAGAAAAACAAACAAAAAATTTAATGTCAACTTAAAACTATATATTTTTTTTTTTTTTTTTGCTTTGACTTAAAAAATTTTGTTGCTGAAAATAACAACCACTCTAAAGAAAAAAAAATATAAACAGTACACAAATTACTTAAATTATTTTATTTTTTTATTTTTTGCTATTTATTTGAATTAAATAAACATTTTTTTAACTTCCTATTTTGTTAGTTTTGCTTTGTTTGTTTTAAAAACTTTGTTTTATGTTAATGTTGAATATAAAAAAACTTGCAAACAGCAATGATCAAGTTGTCTAAAATAAAATACTCATGTGTGGACATACAAACCAAAAACCAAAAACCAAAAACTAGTATATAATCATTAAATATACCAATAATCATTAAATATTCCTTGAAAATTGTTGATTGTTTTTCTTTTGTTTTACAAATGTGTTTAATGAATTTATCATGCACCACTAACATGTGCTGAATAAACTTTGTTACAATAAACTTTGAAATCTTTTCAATATCTGCATGTGTTTTTGTTTCAGTTTTTCTCCACTTGTCACAAAGGATATTTATTAATAACTATTTATATACTTTGAAGTATATCAATAGTTTGAAAGTGTTTCTTAGCATGCATTTGTTATAGATGCAATCATATATGTATGGTTCAAAAACAAAAAAATCATTTTCAGACCCAACTTTGATTAAAGATACGATAGATAGAAAGGATTTCATTAATTTATCAAAGGTAAACTGCATATTTTCATACAAAACACGCAAAGATTTTGTAATAGATTTTACATTGTATGGGCGCAGGTCGCAAAATTTGTTAAAGATAAATGGATTGATGTTTTTCCTTAAATAGTTTACTTTAATAGATTCTTTTAGCTTTAATAGATTCTTTTTATAATATAAATGATGCATCAGAAAAAACTTTTTTCAATGCTTTTACTCTTTGTTGGACATTTTTAAAATATTTGAGATTTAATAATGAGTTTTCTTTTAAACTTTTTACAACTCTTAGTGTT